CAACTTGCCAAACTAGAATTCTAAACACACTGAAAATATCTTTGAAAAAAGAAGTCACAGTGGGCTGGGGTTGTGGCTCAGCGGTAGAGCGCTGGCCTAGCATGTGGGATGCCTGGGTTCGATCCTCAGCACCACATAAAAATAAATAAATAAAAAGAAAGGTATTGTGTCCGACTACAACTAAAAAATAAATATTAAAAAAAAGAATAAGTCACAATAAAGGCACAATAAATGTGGTAAATATTTGCTTAAGTATATCAGATTTTCCCATTATTTAAATTTCTTTATAATACGATTGAATATTTAAACAAAAATAACAACAGTGTGAAGGTTAGGGCATATGTAGAAGTAACTGTATGTTAGCACAAAGTCTGAGAGGAGAGAAATTGAAATATGGTGTTGTGAAATTGTTATATGACAGTGAAGTGGCATAATATCAGTTGGTTGTATAAATACACACATATGTATTTATATATGCATATGTTTTTACATATAGTATACACACTTAAAAAAGAAACAAATAAGCCAAAAGTAAAAGGATAGAGAAAAACAGAAACTAATCAAAGAAGAGTGGGATGAACTGATGTTCAGATAAAGTAGATTTCAAAGCATATTAGTATTGATAATGAAGATAATTTCATAATGATAAATGGATTGACTCATCAAGAGGACATAAGAGCCAGGTGTGCTGGCACACACATATATTCCCAGTGATTTAGGAGACTGAGGCAAGAAAATCCAAGTTTGAGGCCAGCCTCAGCAACTTAGTGAGACTATTATAATAAAAAATAAAAAGGGCCCCCGGGGAGTAGCTCATTGTTAAAGCACCTCTGGCTTAAATTCCCAGTCCCCCCCATCTCCCTAAAATAGAACATAATGATATTAAATGTTTGTGCACCTAAGGGCTTTAAAATATGTGATTAAAAACTGTTTTAACTACAAGGAGAAATAGACAAATTCATTATTACAGTTGGAGATTTCAATATCCTGCTCTCAGTAATTGATAGAAGTAGACAATTAGTAAGGCTATAGAAGACTGAAACAAAACTATCAGCCATTTCTTTTTTAATAATTTTTTTTGTTGTAATTGAACACAATACCTTATTTTATTTGTTTATTTTTATGTGGTGCTGAGGATTGAACTCAGGGTCTCACACGTTCTAAGCGAGCACTTTACCGCTGAGCCACAATCCCAGCCCCCAAACTATCAGCCATTTTGATTACCTGATATGTATGATATGCTACCCAACAATATCATAATACATCTTCTTTTTCAAAGGCATACAGAAAATTTACTAAGGCTTCTTCTTCTTTTTTTTTTTTTTAATGAGAGAGAGAAAGAGAGAGAGAAAGAGAGAATTTTTTAATATTTATTTTTTTAGTTTTCGGCAGACACAACATCTTTGTTTGTATGTGGTACTGAGGATCGAACCCGGGCGGCACGCATGCCAGGCGGGCGTGCTACTGCTTGAGCGACATCCCTAGCCCCAGAAAATTTACTAAGGAATGGCATATTCTGGGCCACAAAACAATACTTAATACATTAAAATAATTTAAGACATATTAATATATTCTGTGAGTATAGCAGATTTTAGATTAGAAATAAATAGGTAGACATCTGAAAAATCCCAGATATATCAAAATTAATAACACAATTTTCAATAAGTTATGTTGGGCTGGGGTTGTGGCTCATTTGGCAGAGCCCTTGCCTAGTATGTGTGAGGCATTAGGTTCGATTCTCAGCACCACATATAAGTAAATAAATAAAGGTCAATCAACAACTAAAAAAAATTAAAAATAAAATAAAATAAGCTATGGGTCTAAAAACAAAGCAAAATAGAAATCAGGATATAATTTGATCTGAATGAAAGTGCAAGTACATTGTATCAAAATTTGTATGATGCGGGCTGGGGATTTAGCTCAGTAGGTAGAGCCTTGCCTTGCATATACAAGGCCCTGGGTTCAATCCCTAGCACCACCAAAAATATAAATAAATAAAAAATTGTATGATGCTGATAAAACAGAACTTAAGAGGAAAATGTATAGCACTAAACTCTGGTCTTAGAAAAGAATAAAGGTCTCAAATTAATGACTTCAGCTTCCATTATTAAAAAAATCTTGAGAAAAAGAGCAAATTAAACAAAGTAAGCAGAGAAAGGAAATAATAAAGATTAAGGCAGAAATCAATGAAATAAAAAAATACAAAAGGGAAAAAAATCAATGAATGCAAAGCCAAGTGAGAAAAAGAATCATATTTATAAATCTCTTACCAGACTCATCAGAGTAAAAACATCAGAAAATGCAAATTACCAATATCAGGAAGGAGAGAGGTGACATTGGTGCAGATTCCAGAAGGGTAATCAGGGACTACCATGAACAATGCTATACAAATAAATTCAACAACTTAGATAAAATGGACAAATACAAAAGAGGGTCGGGGGACAGACAGACAGACACAAACTGCCATAGTTTACTCAGAAGAAACAGAAAATCTGCTTGACCCTGTATCTATTAAAGTAATTGAATTTGTAATTTAAAATCTTCCCACAAAGAAAACTCCAGGCTTTCATCTGTGATTTTGCTATCTCTTAGATACCAAAATCTAAGAGAGAAACACCACCAATTCTACATGACTCTCCCCAAAAACAGAAAAAGAGAAATAGCTCCTAGGACTCTTTCTGTGAGGGCTGTTACTTGACATCAAAAACAAAAGCAGGAATCATAAAAGAAACCCTGATAAACTAGACTTCATCAAAATTAAAAATGCCTGTTTTTTTGAAAGATGCTTAATGAAAAGACAAGCAACATACTGGGAAAAAATGTTTGCAAAACATATCTCATAAAGGGCTTAAAAATATAAAGAAACCTCAAAACTCAATAGTAAGAAAATAGCCCATTTTAAACTGGGCAACATATTTGAATAAGTACTTCACCAAGGAAGATAAGTGAATGGCAAGAGAAAGGTACTTACCATCATTACTCCTTAGGAGATGCAAATTAAAACTAAAATGAGATACTACTACATACCTATTAGAATGGCTAATATTAAAAGAACTGACCACACCAGGTGTTGGCAGGGATGTGAAGTAACTGGATCTCTCACACACTGCCAGTGGGGATGTAAAACAGTACAAACACTGGAAAAACAGTTTGCTAGTATCTTAAAAAGTTAATCATGCACCTATCATATGATATAGCCCTTCCACTTTTAGGGATTTACCCAAGAAAAATAAGAGCATATATCTTTATAAAGTCCTGTACATAAATGTTCACAGCAGCATTATTTTTAATGCTGAAACCAGAAACAGCCCAAATGTCTATCAACAAATGAATATATAAACAATCTATGGTATATGAAGACAATGGAATGTAATTCGGCAATAAAATGAACTATTAATACATGCTGCAGCATGGGTGGGTCTCAAAATAATTATGCTGAGTGAAAGAAGTCATACAAAATCAAGTATATACTTTATGATATCATTTATAGGAAATACTATAGTGACAGAAACCACATAGTGATTGTCTAGGGACAGGGTGGGTTTGAGAAGAGCTGGGAAGGAGAGATTAAAAGAGGCAAGAAGAAGCTTTTAAGTGATGAATGTGTTTATTATTTTCATCTTGATAACACTTTCATATAGAATTATATATGTGTGTGTATATGCAAATAAAGTGGGAGGAATTCCTGAAAACTATGTGCCAGTTAAAAGTTATTCTTAACACCTGAGAGGTGAGCACACACATACACATCAACAAACTCAAAAGAATTAAACAGGAAATTAAAGAAAAAATAGCTGTGGTCACTAATGATATGTAATACATGTAACTTCACTAGTAATCAAACAAGTAAAAGTTAAAATAATAAGACATCTTATTTCACCTACCAAATTGGCAAAATAATAGGAAAAAAAAAAGAATAAATGTTTTGGCAAGAACATAAGGAAACAGTCACTTTAACACATTGCTGAAAGTATAGTATGGGCAAGTCCTTTGGCTCAGGAGTGCCCTTTTGGGAATTCGTACAAGGCAGTTTTTTGTTTGTTTGTTTTGTTTAGCAAAAGAGATGGGGTGTAAGCAGGTGGTACACAGAAAGGCTGTGACAGTGGAGATGGGACATGTGGCTTCTTTAACCTACACGTCTCGATTTCTTAGCCACCTGTGTTTTATCTGAAGTAAGCATTTGGGGTTTTAGTAAATTTTTAATTCTTTTTTTGCTTATCTGTATTAAAAAAAATTTTGAAAGCCCTATTACTTCTGTAATTAGAGGAAAAGTGATATGAAACCGCTATGTTCTGAATGTCCCCAAAGGCCCATGAGTCAAAAGCTTGTTCCCCATCATGGTACTACTGGGGGGGATCTTTAAGAGGTGGGGCCTAGTGGGGGCTCTTTAACTCACTGGGGGAGTGCCCTTGAAGGGGACTATGGGACCACACCCCTCTTCCTCATTTACTCTCTTGTTTTCTGGTGATGAAGTAAGTAGGTGTGCACTACCACGAGCTTCCGCCTGATGTGCTGCCTTGCCATGCACCCAAAGCAAGGGGACTAAGACAGCATGGACTGAAGCCTCCATAACTGTGAGACAAAAGAAAACTTTTCTCTTTATAAGTTGATTATATCAAGTATTTCACTATAGTAACGGAAAGCTGACAAATATAAACACCATTTATATAAAACAATATCAACAAAAAATGGACACACACATACATATTTCTAGAGAACATTTCTTGATAACAGAAATCAAGAAACTTTAAGTAAGACCATTTCTTTTAACTAAGTAATTTCCCATTTTGTAAGTTGTGACTGAAAAGAATGAAAAATTGATATGGAAATAATATAAAACAAACATTGTTAAAAAAGAATGTTATGTAGATTTATATTCTTACTTCACCTCACATTTTTCTTACAAAGTTAATAAAAAAAATTCATCATAGAAAAGCCAGAAAACACAATCCACTCCCAGTTTTTAGGAGAAAGCTAAGTCATAAATCTACGGACAGTACCTTTTTGTATGTGGCACAAAATGCGCTGTATTGCTCAGATTCATGTTAGCAGCAATCTTCTTTTTCTCTTTTATAACTTTAGTATTTTGTACTTATGGTGTACCTATGAGGGAAAAAAAAGAATAAATATATGTAATTATCGGAAAAAAATTAAAGAATCAATAATTAAGGTGGGCACATTGGCACATGTCTTTAGTCCCTGTTTCTTGGGAGGCTGAGGCAGGAGGATCTCTTGATCCCAGGTTTGAGTTCAGTTTGGACAACACTGTGAAACCTCATCTCTTTAAAGGAAAAAAAAAAAAAGAAGAAGAAGAAGAAGGGGGAGGGTGGAGAGGAGGAGGAGAAAGAAGGAAGCAGCAGCGATAATTGCTAATATGGTAGTTTTAAATACAAATGCAATATTACAAAGTTAAAATTGTATCTTCACCCATGGATGACAAATGTAAAAGCTATGACTTTTACAACAAAGACACAGGATACTCTTCCACAGGCAGTACTTAGGAAACAAATGTGTCAGTAGATTTCAGAATCTTACTGAGGCGTCTTCTGGTTTATCTGCATCCAGGGCAACTCAATAAAAGCTAACAGCAGCCAGCACTAATGTGACAGCACACGGCAATGCTGCGGATCCTGTCAGTAAGGCTTATATTTTCAATAGCTTCTCTAAAAGGCTGATGATGTGCACTGATTCATCCCTTTCTGAGGCTCTCCCATAATCATTTCCCCCATTTTGGAAGTAATGATTATTTCTCAATTGTCTATTAAAGAAGCACATGACCAATGTAGAAAATCTAATACACACACACTCACACACACACACAAACACACACACGTGTGTGTATACATTCATATATACTATTTTTTAAAAACCCTGTAACAATGTGCATACTTGTCTCCATGTGGATATTTATTTCTTCCTGTCATCATTTCTTTCATTATACAACTGAGCTCTACATGTAATTTCATAACCTACCTCTTTAATCTAATTCGGTATTATGAGCATGTTGCCATATCACCCAACACTGTCCACAAAGATCATTTAATGACTTCCCAATGGAAGAGTCACAATTAATTCACAACTGTTTCTCCACAACTGGAAACCAAGGATGTAGTCAACCCTTTGTTTTGTTATTGCATTATTTAATAAAGCATTTTGAAGATCTTTGTGTATCTTACTTATCTGTGTTTGGGGGGCTTTCTTTCAAACAGATTTATTGAAATAGTTATTGGGTCAATGAATATAACAATTTAGAACTTGTATTTATTAGAATAATTTTTAGGTGTTTAGCTAGCTTTGGAGATGGTCTTACAGAAAAAAAAATTGTAAAAACAGTATTTCCATTTTCAAGTTTTTCTTGCTGAGGATATCCCAAATCTCCTCTCATGCTTACATTTACAAACTGTACTTTTTTGATTATTTTTGTTATTCCCTCTGTGGCTGTGGAAGGCTTTAGAGCATCTGGCAGCTAAAACTTGCCTACATTCTGTATCATTACATTTTACCTATCCACAGGGTTTGGCTTAGATGTGAAGTGTCCCCTGAAAGCTTCTGTGTGAGACAATGCAAGAAGGTTTGGAGGATAAATGATCAGGTTGTAAGAGCCTTAAACTAAACAGCAAATTAGTCCCTGATGGGATTAACTGAGTGGTGGCTGGAGGCAGGTAGGGTGTGGCTGGAGGAAGTGGGGCATTGTCGGTGTGGCTTTGGGGTATATACTTGTATCTGGAGTGTGAAGTCGTCTTCTCTCTGCTTTCTGATCACCATGTGAGCTGATTCCCTCTGCCATGCTCTTCTGCCATGATGCCCCAAGGAATGGAGCCTGCTGTCTATGGATTGATATGTCTGAAACTGTGAGCCCCCAAATAAACCTTTCTTCCTCTACTTGTTCTTTTAGTCATAGCAGCAAAAAAACTGACTAAAACACCAATCAATTGTTGGAATGTTTACATGTCTACCTTGCTCTTCTAGTCTGACTACACCTTCAATGAATTAAAATGTTCCTTATGACCCTATACAACACTAGATACTATGTTCCTAAGAAAATAGTTTTAAATAAGGCATATGTCACCATCCTCATGCCCAGTTTCAAATGCAAGAGATGTTTGCTCCTAGGAAATAGCATTCTCATGCTACTGGCCATGTGGGCTTACTATTTACCTTCTCTTTAAATGCTTATTCATTTTTACACAATTTTTTAAAAATGCATCCTCTCTGCATCTTTGGCTGCACATCTCTATAAATGTCTTAAAATGAACTCCCTTGGATTTCTAGGAATTAAACTTCTCCATTTTACCTTTTCTTATTTTTAGGACACTGCATTGCTAGGGGGCTAAAGCTTGTATTCTGGAGTTTGATGCATTAAACCTAAAGGGTCCTTTCTGTTTCCTTCCATTTCAATACCTTCCTTCTCACTCCAAAAATGTCTCCAGCATCCCAAGAAACTGACCCATGAACTATTTCTGCTAAGTTCCTTGGCTTCTCTCTGATGACCTCAATGGTGTGTTCCTCCAAGGATCAGCCAAGTTCTCTGCATAAGTGCAAGCTGCTATCTTCACTTCTGTCCATTTAATGGTATTGAATGACACTGTGTCACTGGTGATCCCGACCCCTATTGTAAGCCTCAGTCCCACGTTTTAAAACATCTATTTGGCTTCTCCCCTAAATGGCTCACAAACTCCTCACATTAACTTCAACTCTTCTTTTCCCTTGTCCCTTACACTCAATTAATCCTCAATTCTGCTTCAAATATTTCTCCCCACACGTTTTTAACTCTCCATTCTGTGGCATTAGTTTTCTCTCCTCGGCTTGCTGCTCTTTCACCCTCGATTCTATCTTTTCTGCAATTCATCTTAAAAACAGTATTACCTTAATCGTCTTCCTAAAGCACACAGTTCAGACAATATCACATTTCTGCTTAAAATCCTTCAAAGTACAAAGAATGCAGAATCCTTCCTACAGTATAACTTTTACTCTAACTTAAATTCTAAAACTCAGTAATTGGGGAAAAAATGAATTACTATTCCATCACATACCCCTTCATGCTTTTCATTTCATTTCATACTTGATTTCTTTGTGCTAGTTCCCCTGTCTGTACTGTCCCAATACCACCCACACTCACAGTCCAGCTAAATGTCATCTTTTCCTATAAAACCTATCATTTTCTCTATTCTTGTATCCTTCAGTTTTAAATTCACAGGTATCAATGCTCTGATGGATGTCAAGTACCTCTTCAGAGTAGGGGAATGTCTATTTGGATCTATCCCTGCATCTTCAAGTTTTCTTTTAAAAAAATATCTCTGCTTTCATGAGATATAATTCAAATATATAATTTGTCCATTGGAAGTGAACAACTCAATGGTTTTTAGTATATTTACAGATAACACCACAGTTACTTTTAGAACATTTACATTATCAAACAAACAAAAACCCCTGTACCCTTTAGCCATCATCTTCCTACCTCCAGCTTAAGCAAACACTAATCTGCTTTCTATCTCTGTAAGATCTCCCTCCTCTGGATATTTCATAAGAACAGAATAATAGGATGCGGTCGTTTAAGGCTGGCTTCTTTCACTTAGCGTAATGTTTTCAACACTTAGTGTACTGCCTGGCTCAGTATTTCACTCCAGTTATTGCCAAATTATATTCCATTATATGAAGACACCATATTTTTCTTACCTATGCATCAGTTGATGGACATCTGGACTCTTTCCACTTTTTTTAAAATATATTTTTTTCTTGTTGACGAACCTTTATTTTATTCATTTATTTATATGTGGTACTGAGAATTTAACCCAGTGCCTCACACATGTGAGGCAAGCGCTCTACCATTGAGCCACAACTCCCCAGCCCTGTCCACTTTTTGATTATCATGGATAATGCTGACATAATCATTTGTGTACAAGTTTTTATGTGGACATGTTTTCATTTCTCTAGAGCATATATAACCTACAAGTGAATCTGCTAGGACCTAAAGTATCTTTTTTTTTTTAATATATATACATATTTTTAGTTGTTGATGGACCTTTATTTTATTTATTTAATAAACTGCCTCACATGTGCTAGGCAAGTGCTCTGCCACTGAGCCACAACCCCAGCCCACCTATAGCATCTGTATATAGCATATACTCCACAAAAATCTGTTGAAATCGCCTTTTCTTTCCACTCCATTCTTGGAATTAAAAATGATAATTTGAATTCTTTTTCCTCCCCAAACATAAACAAGACATATTTTTCCTTCCAAGAGGATAGCATTTTAAAAATTGACTAAAATGATATATACAGAAATCATTTTTTCCCACTTACTTGACCTCTTGGAACTTCAAGGGTTACATTTACAGTGATAACTGAGAACTGTGCCAAGAATGTAGACCATCAGGGTCTTGGGCCACTGGGCCAACAGGACAATCCAGCTAGCTTAGAGTAGATTTCAGAGACAAGCAACTAAAATAGTGTTGTTCACCCATTTTTCTAAGAAATGGAAACCTGCAAACAATGGTAATCAAATAAATTATTTTTCACAGATATTATAACAATTTAAGAGAGAACACTTGGTAGAGAGTAGAAATATACATTTTTTTTCATAATTTCCCGTTTCCTAGAGGCTTTCGTGAAAGATGATTCACAGAGGATCTTAGTTGCCTTTCAAATGTTTCAGTAACACCTCTTCAACAATAAACCAGGAGCCAACTAATTTGAGTACCCCAGAATATTGTAACATTAAAAAGGCAATAAGTAAGGGTACTCTTGTACATTGCTGGTGGGACTGCAAATTGGTGCGGCCAATTTGGAAAGCAGTATGGAGATTCCTGGGAAACCTGGGAATGGAACCACCATTTGACCCAGCTATTGCCCTTCTCAGACTATTCCCTGAAGACCTTAAAAGGGTGTACTACAGGGATACTGCCACATCGATGTTCATAGCAGCACAATTCACAATAGCTAGACTGTGGAACCAACCCAGATGCCCTTCAATAGATGAATGGATAAAAAAAAAATGTGGCATTTATACACAATGGAGTATTACGCAGAACTAAAAAATGACAAAATCATGGAATTTGCAGGGAAATGGATGGCATTAGAGCAGATTATGCTAAGTGAAGCTA